GCTTATGCCTGTAATCCTAGCATTTTGGGAAGCCGAGGTGGGTGGATCACCTGAGTTCAGGAGTTGGAGACCAGCCTGGCCAACATGGCAAAACCCTGTCTCTATTAAAAATACAAAAATTAGCCAGGCATGGTGGTGAGCACCTATAGTCTCAGCCACTCAGGAGGCTGAGGTAGGAGAATCTCTTGAACCTGGGAGGCAGAGATTGCAGTGAGCTAAGATCACAGCGCTGCATTCCAGCCTGGGCGAAAGAGCATAATTCCATCTCAAAAAAACAAATTAGCTGAGTGTGAGTGTGATGTTGAGCACCTGTGGTCCCAGCTACTTAGGAGGCTGAGGTGGGAGAATAGTTTGAGCTCAGGAATTCAAAGCTGCAGTGAGCCATGATCTCATCACTGCACTCCGAGGGCTGAGGCGGGTAGATCATTGAGGTCAAGAGTACGAGACCAGCCTGGCCAACATGGTGAAAACTTTTTTATTTTTATTTTTTGAGACGGAGTTTCGCTCTTGTCACCCAGGCTGGAGTGCAATGGCGCGATCTCAGCTCACCGCAACCTCCGCCTCCTGGGTTCAGGCAATTCCCCTGCCTCAGCCTCCTGAGTAGCTGGGATTACAGGCACACGCCACCACGCCCAGCTAATTTTTGTATTTTTAGTAGAGGCGGCGTTTCACCATGTTGACCAGGATGGTCTCGATCTCTTGACCTCGTGATCCACCCGCCTCGGCCTCCCAAAGTGCTGGGATTACAGGCTTGAGCCATCGCACCCGGTGAAAACTTTTTTCTACTAAAAATACAAAAAGCCAGGCGAGGTGGCACATGCTTGTAAACTTAGTTATTCAGGAGGCTGAGGCAGGAGAATCACTTGAATCCTGGAGGTGAAGGTTGCAGTGAGCCGAGATCGCGCCACTGCATTCCAGCCTGGGCGACAGAGCAAGAGTTCCTCTCAAAACCAAAACAAAAACGAGATACTCTTCCTCTGTCCAGGGCTCTATGGCCATGAGAGCCATCTGGAGCTCATCCTGTCCACAGGACACTCTTATTTCCTGGCAGTAGCGGTGGAGCAGGGCTCACTCACTCCCAAACCTCTACCCAACCTAGAGCAGGACAAATGCCTATCACCTGCATAGTCAATGGACAGAGGACAGTGGCAGTACCATTACCAGAGGCATTCAAGCCAAGGCATTTTCTTTACTTTTTTTTTTTTTTTTTTTTTTTTGAGACAGTCTCGCTCTGTTGCCAGGCACCAGGCTGGAGTGCAGTGGCGCAATCTCTGCTCACTGCAACCTCCACCTCCTGGGTTCAAGCAATTCTTCTGCCTCAGCCTCCCAAGTAGCTGGGACTACAGGCGTGTGCCACCATGCCCAGCTAATTTTTGTATTTTTAGTAGAGACGGGGTTTCACCTTGTTGGCCAGAATGGTCTCCATCTCTTGACCTAGTGATCTGCCTGCCTCAGCCTCCCAAAGTGCTGGGATTACAGGTGTGAGCCACTGTGCCCAGCCTTTCTTTACTTTTTTTTTTTTTTTTTTTGAGACGGAGTTTCGCTCTTGTTACCCAGGCTGGAGTGCAATGGCCCGATCTCGGCTCACCGCAACCTCCGCCTCCTGGGTTCAGGCAATTCTCCTGCCTCAGCCTCCTGAGTAGCTGGGATTACAGGCACGTGCCACCATGCCCAGCTAATTTTTTATATTTTTAGTAGAGACAGGTTTCACCATGTTGACCAGGATGGTCTTGATCTCTTGACCTCGTGATCCACCCGCCTCGGCCTCCCAAAGTGCTGGGATTACAAGCTTGAGCCACCGCGCCCAGCCTTTTTTTTTTTTTTTCAAGATCTAGTCTCACTCTGTCACCCAGACTGGAGTGCAGTGGGGTGATCTTGGCTCACTGTAACCTCCACCTCCTGGGTTCAAGTGATTCTCCTTCCTCAGCCTCCTGAATAACTGGGATTACAGGCATGCACCACCATGCCCAGCTAATTTTTTGTATATATATATATTTCTTTTTTTTTTTTGAGACGGAGTTTCACTCTTGTTACCCAGGCTGGAGTGCAATGGCGCGATCTCGGCTCACCGAAACCTCCGCCCCCCGGGCTCAGGCAATTCTCCTGCCTCAGCCTCCTGAGTAGCTGGGATTACAGGCACGTGCCACCATGCCCAGCTAATTTTTTTGTATTTTTAGTAGAGACGGGGTTTCACCGTGTTGACCAGGATGGTCTCGATCTCCTGACCTCGTGATCCACCCGCCTCGGCCTCCCAAAGTGCTGGGATTACAGGCTTGAGCCACTGCTCAAGGAGTGAGCTTTTTTTTTTTTTTTTTAATGAATCAACCCTGAATTATATATTCTACTGTGACCCCAGCGGCTCTATGCAAACAATAACCTAGAGACCAAATCCACAGCTGTGTGTGCTCTGTGTGTGTGTGTGTGTGTGTGTGTGTGTGTGTGTGTGTGTGTGTAGTTTTTGTTGTTGTTAAGCATGTATGTACAGTTTTTTTTTTTTTTTTTTTTTTCATTTTATCAAATTTCCATGCTATGGAACCTGTTTTATCCTGGTCATAACCATGTAATATTTATAAGTCCTTTCTGTAAAAAAAATGGCTAGGCTTTTACCTTGAAAAGAAAGTGATATTTTTTAGTAGTTGAAAATAACAAACTTTGCCTTATGATTTGATTTCACCCCTTGTTTCTTAAATAAAATTATACTACCTGATTCTCATAATTTTTTGATCTACCTACCTAGAACAATTGGCACCAATTGACTAATCTATTTTCCAGGACTTCTTATATATATATATTTTTAAATAGAGAGCCGGGCGCGGTGGCTCAAGCCTGTAATCCCAGCACTTTGGGAGGCCGAGGCGGGTGGATCACAAGGTCGAGAGATCGAGACCAACCTGGTCAACATGGTGAAACCCCGTCTCCACAAAAAATACAAAAAATTAGCTGGGCATGGTGGTGTGTGCCTGTAATCCCAGCTACTCAGGAGGCTGAGGCAGGAGAATTGCCTGAACCCAGGAGGCGGAGGTTGCGGTGAGCCGAGATCGCGCCATTGCACTCCAGCCTGGGTGACAAGAGCAAAACTCCGTCTCAAAAAAAAAAAAAAAAATATATATATATATATATATAGAGAGAGAGAGAGAGATAGGGTTTCACCATGTTAGCCAGGATGGTCTCAATCTCCTGACCTCATGATCCACCCACCTCAGCCTCCCAAAGTGCTGGGATTACAGGCATGAGCCACAGTGCCCAGCCTGTGTTTTCAATCTATTATCTATCTATCTATCTATCTATCTATCTATCTATCTATCTACCTACCTACCTACCTATCTATCTATCTAGATGTGATCTTGCTATGATGCCCAGGCTGGTCTTGAACTCCTTGCCTTGTGATCCTCCTGCTTCAGCGTCCCAAAGTGTTGGGATTTCAGCTGTGAGCCACTGTGCCTGGCTGGAGTGCAGTGGCACTGTCTTAGCTCACTGCAGCCTCAACCTCCTGGGCTCAAGGGATCCTCTTGCCTCAGTTTCCTTAGTAGCTAGGACCACAGGCACATGCCACCACATCCAGCTAAAGCTTGATATTTTTCCATGGTGTATGACTCAGGGCAGAGCGAAGAAGTACAAAAATATGTTGGCTTGAGATTGAGGGCTGATGGAAGGGGTTTCCAAAATTAACAGCAGCAACCTCAGTGTCTGTGGAAGGGGTTGCCAGGGGCATGCAAGTTCTTCGGCTCAAGGCCCTGCCGATAAACCAATTTGAAGCAGGATGACAGGAAGGTGACCCCATCTTCCCCACTCACTGAAAGCCCCGGGCCGGGATTGCCTGGGGCAGACACAGGCTCCGACCAGCCCCAGGAATCAGTTTATCAGCCAGTTGGGCTGAGGGCCTGGAGTTAGCTGAGTGCCCAGCCTGAGATCTTGTGGGCAGTGTGTGGTCATGGTGGCATTCCAGGGGCCTTTCGGCATGTGGGGAATGTCCCAGGAAAAGCCTAAGCTTTTGGTGAGGCTCAGAAAAGGGAAGTGCCCCTAGAGGGGGTGGGTGGGGGCATGGGAAGTGGTATATGTAGGGAATGTCCCCTTTGAGGGAGGAGGACGGAGAGTTCGGGTTATGAGGATGGGGGAGTTTAGCCAGCACCATATCCCTCCTGTGTGACCAGTTCAGAGTCCCATGATATTGGGGTTTGGGAGGGGAAGGGACATTGGCCTCAGAACCAGAGACCTGGGCTGGCCCGGCTCAGAGTCGCTGGACCTCTCTGCTCTGGGTCAAAAAACAAGACCACCAATTCCTGTCCTGCCCAGCCATTGCCAGGTGGGACCTGCACCCTGGCATCGACAGCACTGGGAATGTTGGCCACTGACTCAGCCACTATCCTGGATAACTATTTGGGCCACCCGGGGGGTGGGTGCCTGGGCCACAGGGAGGGGTCCTGGTGGCCTTCAGGGCAGTGGCTGTGGGGCTAAAGCCTCAGGGAACCAGGTCTGCAGGGCCTTGGAGACAAGCTAGTTGGGTGTGTTGGGGTCTGTGGGTCCCAGCTCCTGGCCTCACCGGGTCCCCACCCCACCGACAGCTCCCAGCCTGCATCCCCCCCGCCCCACCCCTCAGCTCCTGTAAGTTTCTGTGCTCAAAGACCACCTCCTCCAGGACGTCCCTGGACCGTCACCTCCACCCAGTACCGATCTGCTCCGTGGACTCTTAGGTCTCCGTCGTGACCTCAAACCTGGCCGGTCCTTGCTCCGAGCTAGGCTTGGGATGGGGGGCATCCGAGGTGGGGGGCATCCGGGAGGGTTAGATGGCTGGTGCGGGGAGCCAGGGTTGGGAAGGGTGGCGTCCTCAGGTGGTAGCGCTGCGGGGTGGGGTGGAGGGACGCGCCAGCGGGCCAGCAGCGGGGGCCGCAGCGCCCGCTCCCTCGGCCCGGGGCCCCCTCCGGAGCGGAGCCGGGGGCGGGGCAGTGGGCGGGGCCTGGAGGAGCTGACGTCACCCTGCCTATAAAGTGGCCGGGGCGCCGCTGGCCCGGCTTTGTGGAGCGCTGCGGTGAGTGCGCGCGGGCCGCGGCCGCCGAACAAAGGAGCAAGGGCACCGCCGTGGGGACCCGCCACCTATCTCCCGGAGCCGAGCCGCGGCTTCCCGTCCGCCGCCACCATGACCGCTAACGGTACGGCCGAGGCGGTGCAGATCCAGTTCGGCCTCATCAACTGTGGCAACAAGTACCTGACGGCCGAGGCGTTCGGGTTCAAGGTGAACGCGTCGGCCAGCAGCCTGAAGAAGAAACAGATCTGGACGCTGGAGCAGCCGCCCGACGAGGCAGGCAGCGCGGCCGTGTGCCTGCGCAGCCACCTGGGCCGCTACCTGGCGGCGGACAAGGACGGCAACGTGACCTGCGAGCGCGAGGTGCCCGGCCCCGACTGCCGCTTCCTCATCGTGGCGCACGACGACGGCCGCTGGTCGCTGCAGTCCGAGGCGCACCGGCGCTACTTCGGCGGCACCGAGGACCGCCTGTCGTGCTTCGCGCAGACAGTGTCCCCCGCGGAGAAGTGGAGCGTGCACATCGCCATGCACCCGCAGGTCAACATCTACAGCGTCACCCGAAAGCGCTACGCGCACCTGAGCGCGCGGCCGGCCGACGAGATCGCCGTGGACCGCGACGTGCCCTGGGGCGTCGACTCGCTCATCACCCTCGCCTTCCAAGACCAGCGCTACAGCGTGCAGACCGCCGACCACCGCTTCCTGCGCCACGACGGGCGCCTAGTGGCGCGCCCCGAGCCGGCTACTGGCTACACGCTGGAGTTCCGCTCCGGCAAGGTGGCCTTCCGCGACTGCGAAGGCCGTTACCTGGCGCCTTCCGGGCCCAGCGGCACGCTTAAGGCGGGCAAGGCTACCAAGGTGGGCAAGGATGAGCTCTTCGCCCTGGAGCAGAGCTGCGCCCAGGTTGTGCTGCAGGCGGCCAACGAGAGGAACGTGTCCACACGCCAGGGTGAGTGGGGACGCTGCCCCCCCCTCTCCCGGTCCGTGCACAAAGCGCACCCCACCCGCGCCCCTCCAGCCTCCCGCCCTTTATGGCCTGCGGCGCCTCTGCGGTCCTGTGCACTGCCCGGTGCGCCCCCGCTAGGCACGCGGGTTACCCCGCCCGGAGGGGACCGGGGTGAGGTTTTGCCCATCCTGGGGCGCCGCTGCCCACCTCCCATCCCGGGCTGTGGTCGTGGGCTCCCCTAGGCCCCGCGGAGGCGCAGGCGAACGTGCACGCTCCTAACCCCCGGCCCACTCCCGCTGTTCTCCCCACGCGCGCTGATCTCTCGATCGGCAGTCCCAGCTCTTGGGGAGCGGGCGACCCTCGCCCATTTCCTCGTGCCCCTCCTCCCGTCGGGAGGCCTGTAGCTCTGGGGCCTAGACGAGGGTCGCCATTCGCACGGGCGCGCCTCCACCCCCACCGGCAGCCTTCGCGGGCGAGGTGGGGGAGGTTGGCCAGGCCTTTGATCCCGGCGGGGCGCGCCTCCACCTCCCCTACTGCTGGGCCTTCCTCCACCTCCTCCCGAGGCCGGGCGGGGTCGGTCTCCGCTGGGGGTGGCGCGCGGGGTGTCTGCCCTTCCCCCCCAGCCCCTCCTACCGCGTCTGCCCCGCGCTCGAGGCCGCGGCCTTTGTGAGCAGGGGGGCGGGTCGCCTCAACTGGGTCCTCCCTCACCCGCTTTGTCCTGCTCCGTCTCTGCAGATGGAAAAACCAGATGCGGCGGGGCGGGGGAGGGGATCGGCTTTTGCGGGTCACCCCTGCAGGGGAGCCCCCCGGGCCGCCCTCGGGCCCAGGGCTCGGGTCCCGAGGCTCCCCAGGAGTCGGACTCCCTCCTCGCGCCCCGGGAACGGCGTGGCGCGGATGGCGGACCTCCAGGCACCCCGCCCTTCGCCCGCCGCGCGCGTCTCCTGGCGGGTGTGCTGAGCTGCGCTCCGCTAGCGACCGAGGGCGGCTCCAGCACTCGCCAGGAGACCCCAGGCCAGCTCCCTCGGGAAGCGCCTACCCTCGGGTGAACCCGTCCCTTAGGGCGCTCGCCGGGAACAATTGACTGCAACTCGATCCGGCCCCTCCGGGGCCTCCCGCAGGCGCGGCTATTTTCGACCGGCCTGTGCGCAGAAGTGGGCCCCTCTCTTTCCCATCTTTCTGAGATTCCCCCCCGCCCCAGGGGGTTTCTCTTCCTTTTGGTCCTCTTCCACTCCTGGCTGAGAAGCTGTTCCTTGCTTGCAGACAGAGGCCCCGCTGGAGGGAGGGGCCTGGGGGGGATCTTGTTCCTTTGACGGGAAGTAGGACCCCAGGCCCTGGATGGGAGCCCAGTTTGTGTTCTCATCCCTCCTTTTGGAAGGAGACCTCCTGACGGCCCCCTTCTTGGCTGTGGGCTCTGCAGAAGGGAGAAAGACCCCCATGGAAGTGGGGATGAGGGTGGAGGCCTGGGTGGGGTCATGGCCATTTTGTGCCTGAAGTTTGCTACCTTAAGGCCCAGAGAGGTGAAGCCGCTTTACCTGGGTCACACAGCAGGTGGCCACAAGTAAGCAGCATGCAGAAGTGGGTGCATTTGGCTCCAGAAACCCCTTTTCCGGTCTCCCACACGCGGGGTGGGCAGAGCTCACCTGTTCAGCAGGCACTGGGCCCTAGGAAGGGGACCTGCTGAGCCATGAGTAGGGTTCATATTTTCTCTTGGGGACATTACCAAGTGTCAAGGAAAAGGCAGCGGCTACAGGTGATTAGATGGGTGAGTCCTTTCTGAGCAGGACATCTGAGCTGACCTGAAGGATGAATACAAGGTGGCAGGTATCTGGGGTGTACGGACCAGCATTGCAGGCCGTGGGTGTAGCCTGTGCAAAGGGCCTGTGGCAGGAAGGTACAGAGAAAGCCCAGGGTGGCTGGGAGGAAGCTTGTGAGATTGGGAGCTGGGACTGGAGGGGCCAGTGGGGCCCTCGATGGGTACTGTCAGTGCAGGGCCATGGTTCTTGCCTTCAGGTTGCAGCCATGGCCTCCCCTGGGGAAGAAGTCCACTGCCTCTGAAGTTAAGAAGTAGGTGGCCCTGTCCCTGGGGGCCAGGAAGGAGCAGAGAGCCCGAGGGTGTTTTTGGCGAGACTAGGCAGATACTCCCCTCTCCTGGGGGCGTCAGGGATGTGATTCAGGCTGATGGGTGGGAGGAACCAGAAATCGCAGCCAGGAGAGGTGGTGGTGATCGCTCAGCTTGGAGTTTAAAGGATTGTGGAACTAGGAGTGGCGGGGAGGAGAGCTTGGGATCTGAGGTTGGGTCTCCTCTGGCCTCAGATCTTGGGGTCATCTCATTTCTATGTCAGCCAACTCCTGGGGGGCTTTTGGAGAGCTGGAGTCTGCAAAGGTGGGCATGGGGGGGGCGTGTCTGCAGAGGCCATTTTGGACAGGCCTGCGTGGCAAGGGGGAGGCGTCTGTGCTTCCGACACACATGACACATGCCGGGGACGCGAGCCAGGAAGGGGAGGATCCGGTCTTAGCGGGCGGGGGATGTGAATCATCTCTGCAGGCCTGCACGGGCGGGCCCAGTGGGGGTAGGGTGCTTCCCTTTGACAAACGCTGCGCTCTGCTCTCCAGCCTCAGTTTCCCCCTGCTCTCCAGCCTCAGTTCCCCCATCTGTAAAGTGTGCATTCCAGGCCTTCTTGGGCTGGCCCAGAGCTGCCCTGGGCAGGGTCTTTTGGCCCAGCCTTCACCCCATCACACTAGAGGCTGTGTCGGCCGAGCGAGTGCTCCTTTGTCCTCCCCCCACGCCACGCGTTCCTCCCTGCCACACCTGCCCTGGCCCCGACCCGGGCCATGCTTCACCACATTTCCTGTCTTCTCACATCTGTCCCTGTCTGTCCCGCTAGCCTCCTTGCCTCTGGGGCTCCATGCCAAGGCTAAGACCTGGGCTCCCTGCTGGCTTGGACGGGCCCTCTCCCAGCCACTCTGAGCATGGCAGACTGACGAAGGGCTGGTTCAGCTGGGCTTTGCAGGACATGTAAGAGTTCTCCTTAGAGGCAGGGCATTCTGAGCCTGGGGAATGGCTTGTGTGAGGATGCAGGAGGCATTTGAAATGGCCAGGTAATTGGAAGAGTTGGCTGGAAAGCGGGGTGGTGATGTGAAGCCACAGAAGATTCCAGGTTCCCTCCCCCGAATGAGATGGAGGGGAGTGCCTATTTTGAACAAGCCAGGGGCATCTGGGGACTGTTAAGGCCTGAGGGTGGTGATGGGGACTGGCGGGTGTGAGGCACCCAGGGGGTGCCCCTCTGAGTCACCATAGAGAATGGTTTAGAAGACCAGGCACACTGGCCCATGCCTGTAATCCAAGCACTTTGGGAGGCCAAGGAGGGGGGACAGCTTCAGCCCAGGAGTCAAAGCCAGCCTGGGCAATACGGTAAAACCCCTGTCTGCCAAAAATACAAAAAAATTAGCCTGGCATGGTAACACACACCTGTCATTCCAGCTACTCAGGAGGCTGAGATGGGAGGATCGCTTGAGCTGGGATTGTGCCACTGCACTCCAGCCCGGGCAACAGAACCGAGACCCTGTCTTCAAAAATATCTTTTAGGCCGGGCGCTGTGGCTCACGCCTGTAATCCCAGCACTTTGGGAGGCCGAGGCGGGTGGATCACGAGGTCGAGAGATCGAGAGGTTGGTCTCGATCTCTCGACCTCGTGATCCACCCGCCTTGGCCTCCCAAAGTGCTGGGATTACAGGCTTGAGCCACCGCGCCCGGCCCCCAAAAAAATCTTTTAAGCAAATAAAATAATTAAGGCCAGTCGAGGTGGCTTACGCCTGTAATCCCAGCACTTTGGGAGGCTGAGGCGGGTGGATCACTTGAGGTCAGGAGTTTGAGAACAGCCTGGCCAACATGGAGAAACCCCATCTCTACTAAAAATACAAAAATTAGCCGGGTATGGTGGCGCATGCCTGTAATCCCAGCTACTCGGGAGGCTGAGGCAGGAGAATCTCTTGAACCCAGGAGGCGGCGGAGGTTGCAGTGAGTCAAGATCGTGCCATTGCACTCCATCCTGGGCAACAAGAGTGAAACTGTCTCAAAACAAAACAAAAGACAAAACAGAAATAATTAAAATAAAAAAGTTAAAAAAAGAGAGCGGGAATGACTTAAGCTGAAGTCAGGGGAGGCCGCTATGAGGGCAGGATAGGCAGAGGCCCGGGCCCCTCTGGAAGGAGGCGGGAGAGGTGGCGTGGGCTTGGCACAGGAGACTTCCTCCCCTAGCTCGCAGGGGCCCTGTGGGCCTGTGACTCAGGATTTCTGTGCCTCTAGATGAAAAGAAAAATCCTGAAGAAAATCCTGTTCCCATAGTAACACAGCTCTAATTAGAGACACTAAGGCCAAGCTAGGGGTTTCGGCGTCTGGGAAGGGCCTTGGAGGCAGGAGGGGCCCTGCCGGATTGGGGGTGACTGCCCTTTGTTCCCTCCACCTCTCCCTGCTGGGATGGGCCCTGATGTCTCCTTGGTACCAGGACCCTGAATCCTTTCAACATCCTGGCAGAGTGGAGAGGCTGGACCCTTTTGACAAGTGGGGAAACCGAGGCAGGGTGCAGAGAAGTCACTCTGCCAAGGGTGCCTGGCCCCCGCGGTGGGTGCTTCACTGGCTGACCTAGGCCTTTGCATCAAGCCAGTTCCAGGATTGAATGCAATAGGCTGATGGTGTCATCTGCAGCAGTTGTGTGGCCCTGGGCAAGGAATGACTGGGGGGGGCTCCCTTTCTTCTCTGGCTGGGGGATAAGATTAGTGTGAACTTCATGGAGTTGCCAGGAGGATTAAGGCCCACAGGTATTCACATGTGGCTCTGTGGCTGTCCCCAGCCCAGCCATCAGAAGTCTCATTGAGAAGGAGCCTGCTGGCTTCCTGCGTTTGTTCCAGGCGGGCTGGTAAGTGCCCTGCTTATTTGCAAGGCTATGTGAGGAAGAGCCCTGTAAGCCCTAGGATGAGGCTGTGCGAATGTGGTTTCTGTTCCATTGTGCCCCTCCATTCGTTTGCCCCTCTTTCTGGGGAACCTGGAGCCCCCCACCCCCTCGGACTTTCCTGCTGCTGGGGTGGGCCTGCAGGAGGCTGTCCTCTTACCTGGTCCCTAAATTCCTTCCCATCAGTGAACCGCCCATGCATTGGGCAGATGGTGCTCCGTCACCAGCACAGGCCGGAGCCCATGAGGTGGCTTTGCACAGAGCAGGGTGTGGCCATGGCCTGTAGATGTGCAGGCCCTTCTGGGTAGAATGAGGGGGTGGTGAGGGCAGCTGTGTGGGTGTGTCTGGCCTGACAGCTCCCTGAGGCTTCTGTGCAGTGGGGGTGGGGAGGACCAGCCCTTTGCAGGGCCTCTTGGCTGGTGGAGGGCTGAGTGAGGAGAGGCCCCGGCCTTCATTTTGTTCCCTGGGGTGTGGCCTTAGGATGGTCCTGGCACCCTGGCGACACAACCCCTGCTCACCTCATCCTCTTCCCATGCTTGGCTGGGGTGTGGTGGCTGGGCCAGCCCACTCAATGGAGTCCCAGGCAGTGGATGCTACGGAGGAGTCAGGCTTGAGAGGGGGCCCAGGGGACCTGGAGGGTGTGGGGCCAGGATCCCAGGGCAGGGACCCATAGGCAGGAGGGTGGGTCAGGGAAAGGGCCATCCCCATCCCATCCAGAGAGCCAGCCAGACCCTTACTTTCTCTTGCCCTGTGACCTCAAGCAAGGATACGCCACCACCAGCCTCAATCTCCCTCTTTGTGAAGTGAGATGAAGATCCCGTCTGGTGCAGATATGGGGGTGCATGGTTGGGTCACAACGGAGCAGGATGAGGAGGCCAGGCACGGTGGCTGACACCTGTAATCGCAGCACTTTGGGAAGCAAAGGTGGGAGGATTGCCTGAGGCCAGCCTGGGCAACATAGTGAGACCCCCATCTCTACAAAATAATTTGAAAGTTCGCCAGGAGTGGTGTCGAGTGCCTGTGGTCCCACCTACTGAGGCAAGAGGATCTCTTGAGCCCAGAAGTTGGAGGCTGCATAGAGTCATGTTTATGACACCTGCAATCCCGCCTGGGCAACAGAGCAAGAGCCTGTCTCTAAAAAAAAAAAGAACTGGCCAGGTGCAGTGACTCACGCCTGTAATCCCAGCACTTTGGGAGGCTGAGGCAGGTGGATCACCTCAGGTCAGGAGTTCAACACCATCCAGGCCAACATGGTGAAACCCCGTCTCTACTAAAAGTACAAAAATTAGCCGGGCATGGTGACATGTGCCTGTAATCCCAGCTTCTCGGGAGGCTGAGGCAGGAGAATCTCTTGAACCCAGGAGGTGGAGGTTGCAGTGTGCCCAGATTGCACTACTGCACTCCAGCCTGGGCGACAGAGCAAGACTCCACCTCAAAAATAAAATAAGAACTGAGGATGTGTCCTCTGGGTGTGGGCTCCACCACCTGCCAGCCTCCCTCTCCTGGGGGTGACGCCTGCCACCCACCACTGGGTTCCCTGCAGCATCGAGGCGCCCAAACGATGACTCTCGCCAGCTCCGAGCAGGCATTCGCACGCAGCCTGGCCGACGCCTCTGCTGCTGCAGTTCTTAGACTCCAGGGCGCGTGGGGAATGTGAATTTGTGCTGCTGGAGCCAAACATCCCACCTCCAGGTTTTAGCTGGAGGAATCCATGCGGATATGCAAAGTGACGTGGTTATGACGAATAGCAACTGCGTGGCCGGGTGCCGGGTCCACGCCTGTAATCGCAGCACTTTAGGAGGCTGAGGTGGGTGGATCACCTGAAGTCAGGAGTCCTGGCCAACATGGTGAAACTCCATGTCTGCTAAAACACAAAAAAATTAGCCGGGGGTAGTGGAGGGCGCCTGTAATCCCAGCTACTGGGGAGACAGAGGCAGGAGAATTGCTTGAACCCAGGAGGCAGAGGTTGCAGTGAGTTGAGATCATGCCATTTCACTCCAGCCTAGGTGACAGAGAGAGACTCTCCTCAAAAAAAGTATAGTGGGCCGGGCATGGTGGCTCACGCCTGTAATCCTACCACTTTGGGAGGCAAGGCGGGCAGATCACAAGGTCAGGAGTTTGAGACCAGTCTGGCCAATATGGTGAAACCCCATCTCTACTAAAAATACAAAAAAATTAGCCGGGCTTGGTGGCACACTCCTGTAATCCCAGCTATCTGGGAGGCTGAGGCAGGAGAATTGCTTGAACCTTGGGGTGGAGGTTGCTGTGAACTGAGATCGTGCCACTACATTCCAGCCTGAGCGACAGAGACTCTGTCTTCGGGGGGAGGGGCGGGGAATAGCAATGGCGCCATAGCTGAGGGGAGTAAAACCTGAAAGCCACCTTAAGTGTCCTGATGTCAGAGGTGCCTGCTGTCCCATGTGATTTTTTTTTTTTTTTTTTTTGAGATGGAGTCTTGCTCTGTCCCCCAGGCCGGAGTGTAATGGTGTAATCTTGGCTCATTGCAACCTCTGCCTCCCGGGTTCAAGCGATTCTCCTGCCTCAGCCTCTGGAGTAGCTGGGATTACAGGTGGCCACCACCATGCCTGGCTAATTTTTGCATTTTTAGTAGAGATAGAGTTTCACCGTGTTGTCCAGGCTGATCTCAAACTCCTGACCTCAGGTGATTCACCTGCCTCGGCCTCCCAAAGTGCTGGGATTACAGGCGTGAGCCACCATGCCCTGCTCTTTTATGAGTTTTCTAAAGGAAAGGAACATGTGCCATTATGTTTTATTCTTTTAACTTTTACATAGAAGCAGGAACAATAGCATGCACCTCCAGACACGGCCCCCCAGATGCGATGTTCCCCTGTGCTATAGCCCTATTTGTCCCTTTCTTTACCATTTTTGGTTATATTGAAAGCAGATCCCTGACATCAGGGCATTTCATCCCAAAATACTTCCATCTGTGTTTCTAAAAAAATGAGGCCATTTTCTTATGTAACCGTAACGTGATCAACAGTAATCAATCCTTCACATCTAATTCTGGCTGTGTTAAGACCCTCCTAATTGGCTCAAGAATGTCTTTCCCGGCCGGGTGCGGTGGCTCACACCTGTAAGCCCAGCACTTTGGGAGGCCGAGGCAAGAGAATCACTTGAACCCAGGAGGTGGTTGCGCCGCTGCACTTCAGCCTGGAGACAGAGCAAGACTCCGTCTTTAAATAAATAAATAAATAAATTAAAAATCAGCTGAGGCCGAGCGCGGTGGCTCAAGCTTGTAATCCCAGCACTTTGGGAGGCCGAGGCGGGTGGATCACGAGGTCAAGAGATCGAGACCAGCCCGGTCAACATGGTGAAACCCCGTCTCTACTAAAAATACAAAAAATTAGCTGGGCATGGTGGCGCGTGCCTGTAATCCCAGGTACTCAGGAGGCTGAGGCAGGAGAATTGCCTGAACCCAGGAGGCGGAGGTTGTGGTGAGCCGAGATCGCGCCATTGCACTCCAGCCTGGGTAACAAGAGCGAAACTCTGTCTTGGAAAAATAAAAATAAAAAAAAGAATGTCTTTCCCGCAGTTAATTTCTTGATCCTTTTTGTTTTTTTGAGGCAGGGTCTCTTTCTGTCACCCAGGCTGGAGTGCAATGGTGCAGTCACAGCTCATTGTAGCCTCGACCTCCTGCCTCAGCCTCCCAAGTAGCTGGGGCTATGGGCGTGCACCACCACTCCCAGCTAATTAAAAAAAAAAAAAATTAGTAGAGACGAGGGTCTTGCTGTATTGCCCAGGCTGGTCTCAAACTCCCAGACTTAAGCGATCCTCCTGCATTTACCTTCCAAAGTGTTGAGATCACAGGCATGAGCCCCTGGCCCTGGCTCCTATTCCTTCTCTAACTGGGGAAAGTCACGTGGGACAGATGTAGCTGGCCTTGGCCTTCGACCCGCCCTGCCTGTGTTCCCGGGTGCTGTCTGCTGCCTCTGATGTGTGCTACTGTGGAGCCTTGATCGCCTGCCCCACCATGCCCCATGGTGTGTAGTTCTGTGAGTTCAGGCCTGTGGTAGGCCAGAACTAGGGGGTGTGGGGCCCCTGTACCAGCCCGAGGCCTCTTCTCCACAGGTATGGACCTGTCTGCCAATCAGGACGAGGAGACTGACCAGGAGACTTTCCAGCTGGAGATCGACCGTGACACCAAAAAGTGTGCCTTCCGTACCCACACGGGCAAGTACTGGACGCTGACGGCCACCGGGGGCGTGCAGTCCACTGCCTCCACCAAGTGAGTGCCCCGCCGCCACCTGTCACCCCTCCCCCAACCTGCGCTTGCCTGGGCCACTCCTCCTGACCCTGTCCTGCATCCCCCAGGAATGCCAGCTGCTACTTTGACATTGAGTGGCGTGACCGGCGCATCACACTGCGGGCGTCCAATGGCAAGTTCGTGACCTCCAAGAAGAACGGGCAGCTGGCCGCCTCGGTGGAGACAGCAGGTACTCCCCAGGCTCCAGTTCCCTGGAGCCACCCTGGAGTCCCGGAGGGTCTGGCCACACCGTGGTCACTTCACAGCCCCAGCCAAGGCCCGCTTTGTGCTGGGCATCCCCCTAGACTGGCCCTGTACTGTCCTGCCCTGGGACTGACGGCTCTGTGACCCCAGCTCCTGACTCACCCTCTTTGATCACCCCAGCCCCCACCCTACTCCCTGCCAGGAGGCTCACTGACTCCCCTCTTTCTGGGACAGGGGACTCAGAGCTCTTCCTCATGAAGCTCATCAACCGGCCCATCATCGTGTTCCGCGGGGAACACGGCTTCATTGGCTGCCGCAAGGTCACAGGCACCTTGGATGCCAACCGCTCTAGCTATGACGTCTTCCAGCTGGAGTTCAACGACGGCGCCTACAACATCAAAGGCAAGTTCTCCTGCGGGCGGCGGCTGGGCGGGGAACCCCTCAGTGGGGCTGTGGTCAGGGCTTAGGGGAGCGCCCCCTGCACCCATGCTTGACCCTGGCTGGGCTCAGGGCCATTCCAGGCCCTAAGGGGAGTTCAAGTGATCTTCCTGCCTCAGCCTCCCAGCCTTCCAGGCCCTAAGGGGACAGGTGTCCAGGGGCTCTGGGATGAAAGCAGCCCCTTTCCCACTTGTCTGTATGGTCGGGTCAGATCATACCTTGCCCACCTGACAGACAGGTCTACAGACAGGTGGAGCGGGGAGGAGAGCAGGGAGAGAGAGGTTCTGGAAAGGGCGTGCAGGGGAGGACGCACCTCGGTCGTGGGACTGGAGCCACTTCCTGAGGAGGACCCCAGAAACCCAGAGGTGCCTGTTAGGGTTCAGAACATGGTTTTGTTTGTTTCTTAGTTTGTTTGAGACTCGCTCCCTCACTCAGGCTGGAGTGCAGTGGTGTGATCTCGGCTCACTGCAACCTCCGCTCTGCCTCCTGGGTTCAGGCAGTTCTCCTGCCTCAGCTTCCCAAGTAGCTGAGATAACACGTGTGCGCCACCACACCTGGCTAATTTTTATATAGTTTTGAATTCAGTTTATTATTTATTTATTTATTATTATTATTTTGAGACAAAAGTCTCGCTCTGTCGCCCAGGCTGGAGTGCAATGGCATGGTCTCAGCTCACTGCAACCTCTGCCTAATGGGTTCAAGCAATTCTGCCTCAGCCTCTTGAATAGCTTTGGATTACAGGTGCTTGCCACCATGCCCAGCTAATTTTTGTATTTTTATTTATTTATTTTTTTATTTTATTTATTTATTTTTTTTAGCTGGGATTACAGGCACGCGCCACCATGCCCAGCTAATTTTTTGTATTTTTAGTAGAGACGGGGTTTCACCATGTTGACCAGGATGGTCTCGATCTCTCGACCTCGTGATCCACCCGCCTTGGCCTCCCAAAGTGCTGGGATTACAGGCGTGAGCCACCACGCCCGGCTTATTTATTTATTTTGTTTGAGACAGAGCCTTGCTCTGTCGCCCAGGCTGGAGTGCAGTGGTGTGATCTCAGCTCACTGCAACCTCTGCCTCCTGAGTTCAAGCAACATTCCTTCCTCAGCCTTCCTAGAGTAGCTGGGAATATAGATGCCCGCCATCACACCCAGCTAATTTTTGTATTTTTTAGTAGAGACATGTTGGCCAGGCTGGTTTCGATCTCTTGACCTTGTGATCCACCCGCCTCAGCCTCCTAAAGTGCTGGGATTACAGGCATGAACCACCGTGCCCTGCCTAATTTTTATATTTTCATGTTATTTTTTGAGACACTCTTGGTCTGTTGCCCAGGCTGGGACGAGATACCTGTTCACTGCAACCTCTGTCTCCCATGTTCAAGTGATCCTCCTGCCTCAGCCTCCTGAGTAGCTGGGATTACAGGCGGAAGCCACCATGCTTAGCTAATTTTTGTATTTCTAGGAGAGACAGGGTTTCACTATGTTGGCCAGACTGGTCTCGAATCCCTGGCCTTTGCCTCAGCCTCTTAGAGTGCTGGCATTATAGGCGTGAGCCACCGAGGCTGGGCAGAACACGTTTTAGGACCCTTGTTCATGTGTCCACCATGGGCAGGAAGGCATGAGGGCATAGGGACCACGGCCCATTCTGGAGCAGGGACTGGAGGGTGGAGTGTCACCCTTGGGAACACCCATGCCCACCCCTAGCTGCTGGCCCAGGGTGTGGCAGGGGAGCCGGGCTTTAGGCACCACTTTGATAGAGTCCGCCTCCCCAGACTCCACAGGCAAGTACTGGACGGTGGGCAGTGACTCCGCGGTCACCAGTAGCGGCGATGCCCCTGTGGACTTCTTCTTCGAGTTCCGTGACTACAACAAGGTGGCCATCAAGGTGGGCGGGCGCTACCTGAAGGGTGACCACGCAGGGGTCCTGAAGGCCTCGGCGGAGACCGTGGACCCCGCCTCGCTCTGGGAGTACTAGGGCCTGGCCGATCCTGCCGACACGGGGCCTCCTCCCAACCCTCCCTGCTAACCCCTTCTCCAGGTGGGCTCCGGGGCCGGAGGCAAGCCCCCTTGCCTTTCAAACTGGAAACCCCAGAGAAAACGGTGCCCCCACCTGTCGCCCCTATGGATCCCCTACTCTCCCCTCCACCAGGGTCCCCCACTCCCCTAGGGTCAGCAGCTTTGGCCTGGCCCTGGGAGGGATTTCAGATGCCCCTGCCCTCTTGTCTGCCATGGGGCGAGGCTGGCACCTCTTCTGACCTCAGACGGCTCTGAGCCTTATTTCTCTGGAAGTGGCTGAGGGGTGGGGTGGGGTAGGGTGAGGCTGGGAGCCCTGGGCGTTTAGTGTAACTGGAATCTCCTGCCCCTCCCAGCCATCTCCTCCCCGCCCCCTAGGAGCCGGGCACGTGTCCCAAGCCTGTCAGTGGCCTCCCTGGTGCACGACGTGAAATAATCCCTGCTTGGAAAGGGAAGCTGTCGGTGGGCTAGGACTGATCCTCGGGTTCTTTTTTTTGGGTGGTGGCTGGAGACAGCTCCTCTCCCACTTGGCAGAGGCTCAGCCCGGCTCCCTTGCCACAAGCAGCAGGGCGTGTTGGCCACAAGGTCTGTCTGCCTGCTGCACGTTCTGCCAGGGTGGTGGGTGGGGGCAGGGGTGTGAGGGCTGTCTTTCTCCTTTTTCCTTTCACCCTGGCCTGACTGGAAGCAGAAAATGACCAAATCAGTATTTTTTTTAATGAATATTATTGCTGGAGGCGTCCCAGGCAAGCCTGGCTGTAGTAGTGAGTGATCTGGGGGTGCACCTCTCCCCCCCTCCGTCCTACTCATCCAGCCCCAGCCACAGGCCTGGGCTGCAGATGCCTGGGCCAGAGGCCCCGCTGTGATTGGTGCTCCCTGGGCCTCTTGGGTGGATGAAGCCAGGTGTCACCCCCACCCCGGGAGCCCTGGGGTGAGCAGCCGGGCCCCCCTGCTGCCAGCCTCTACCCCCTTCCCGACATGCATCTCACTCTGGGTGTCTTGGTCTTATTTTTTGTAAGTGTCATTTGTATAACTCTAAACGCCCATGATAGTAGCTTCAAACTGGAAATAGCGAAATAAAATAACTCAGTCTGCAGCCCCAGGCTGGCCTGTGTGTGTCTTGGGGTCGAGGTGGGCGAAGGGGCTGGCGGGACAGGTGGGTGCCCTGGCTCCCCAGCTCTGTGCTGGGAGGGGGCGGCGGGAGAAGGGCGTGGCTTCAGCGGGTGCTCCGAGCTCGTGGGGCCAGCACACCTCTTTAAGAGAGTAATGAGGCAATGGGGAGGGTGTGGACTGTGGCCCATGGGACTCCCAGAGCCACCAGGAGGTGTTCTGTGGCGAGAAGTGGCTGCACCTGGGGCTCTGTAGGCCACGCCCACCATGCGGGAGGCCCTGGGGGTGTCTGGGGGCTGCACAGTGGACGTTTAGAAGGTGCAACTCAGGCAACACAAACCAGTGAGATCCTGTGTCATCCTCCAGTTGACATGTGCCTCTCGACTAGGGGATGTGGTGGTAGTGGCAACTCCGCCCCACATTGCGAGGGTCTGGGCCTTCCACGTCCCTAGACACAGCAAGCTGGGGTGCCCGTGGGGCTGGGAGAGGCTGCTGGGGGGTGGGGAGGTGAGCGTGGTAGGATGGACCTGGACCTAGCGTGCAGACCCTGGGCTGGTGCCCCGGGGACATCTGGCAGATCGGAGTCTGAGGACTTTTCCAGACTTTCCCAAGGCTGCAGTTAGGGGCGACGCGGGTTCTGAATCTCCCTCTGCGTCCTAGGCTGCAGGTACTGGGAGCCGGGCAGAGGGCTCGCGGACCTCATTCACACCCAGACCTCGTTCACTCTCAGGTGCCCCTAGGGGTATCAGCTGGGCTAAGACAGGGGAGGAGAAGCAAGGCGCAGCCTGGAGCGGCGGGACCAAGCGCTCATTGTTCGCCAAGCAGGCGGGATGGCTACGGAGTTTCGGACATGCCGGCCGTCCTGGGGGCCACCAGGGTGCTGCAGGCTGGAGCAGGCCCCTGTCCCGCGCAGCAGAGGAAGCGCTGATGACGCAACTGGGAGGGCTGCGCTGTGATTGGTGGTGCAAGGGCAGGTGGCCTACCGCAGGGGGAAGTCGGGGTTCCCCCCAGTGGAGTTCTGGCGGCCACCCCCCTCCCCTGCCCTATGAAAGCCAGGCTGGAAGCCAGAAATTTTTTTTTTTTTTTTTTTTTTTTGAGACGGAGTTTCACTCTTGTTACCCAGGCTGGAGTGCAATGGCGCGATCTCGGCTCATCGCAACCTCCGCCTCCTGGGTTCAGGCAATTCTCCTGTCTCAGCCTCCTGAGTAGCTGGGATTACAGGCACGCGCCACCATGCCCAGCTAATTTTTTGTATTTTTAGTAGAGACGGGGTTTCACCATGTTGACCAGGATGGTCTCGATCTCTTGACCTCGTGATCCACCCGCCTCGGCCTCCCAAAGTTCTGGGATTACAGGCTTGAGCCGCCGCGCCCGGCGAAAAATCTTAATGACGTGGAAGGGGCAGATTAATCCTCTGGAACCAAACTCTTTGAGACCTGGGGAGGGGGGTGGGGGCACTGGGGCGGGGATGGGCGGAGAAGAGGGGAGCCCGGCTCATTTCTGCCCACGGAGCTGCCCTAGAACAACCCCAGGGTTCCCGGAGCCACCACCGGCTGATTTCGAATTCCATTCATTCCGCAAAATTTGGTGCCTATCACGTGGCAGAGATTTCCGAGGCTGCTGCCAGTGAGCGACATAGTCCGATGGGGGAGGCTGGAAGGGCGGTTCACGAGACCTCTGGCGAGGAACAGGGAGGAGCTGCCCAGCTGAAAGGGACGGGGGAATAACGCGGGCCGAAGGACCTGCATAGGCCCAGGCCCAGTCCCTGCCCTCTGGGGGAAGGCCAGGCCAGGGGCTGGGGCATCTCTGGAGTTCCAGATGAGATGCAGGTCGAGGAAGTCAGGCCATACTTCTCCTGACCCGCGTGGAGACCACGAACATCTTCCGGAGGAGCGGGCGGCAGACTCTGGGGCACCCGGGCTCCCCATCTCCTGACCTTTTCCCACCTCTAAGTACCTCCTGTCAGGACAGGTTTGGGGCTCCCTGGGCAGGGATCCAGGGCAGTGGGTGCAGTTTCCGCCCTTGCCTGAGTCACCTTTGCTTTCTCAGCGATTCCCCATTCACAAGGGCGTGGCCCATCACACGCATTCACACTTGTGAACTTGCACACACATACACACGGACCTGTGCAAAGACACAAGTGCACAGATGCGACCCTGTCTCAAAAAAAAAAAAAAAAATGCTGGGCACAGTGGCTCACACCTGCAATCTACTGAAAATACAAAAATTAGCCCGGCATGGTGGTTCCTGCCTGTAATTGCAGCTACTTGGGAGGTTGAGGCAGGACAATCGCTTGAACCCAGGAAGTGGAGGTTGCAGTGAGCTGAGATGGTACAATTGCACTCCAGCCTGGGCGACAGAACAAGACTCTGAAAAAAAAAAAAAAAAAAAAAAAGGAGAGACTGAGCTGTACTGCCCATTCCAGGAACGTGGGGCAGTCTGGGGGACAGTGGGGTATATGCTCTGTGTCCCAGGGTCCCAACCCTGGGTCCCCAATTGCTGTCTGCTGTAAACTCCTCACTTATGAGGCCTCTTTGGGTGGTCACCAGTCCCCGAGGACTCAGGCAGGTCCCTTTGGTGGGCGAGACCTCTGAGCTTCCCAGTGTATCTCCAGGGGACACCCCCTCCAGACCTCCTGCCTCAGCTCAGCCTCTTCCAATTCATTCTCAGCAGATGGGGGTGGGGACAGGAAGCCCCAGACCCAGCCGAGTCCCATTTCCTCCAGGGCCACAGTGGCCTCTTCCAGAGTCATGGGGATGAGGGCTGACCTCACTTTTTTTTTTTTTCAGGCAGAGTCTCACTGTCGTCCAGGCTGGAGTGCAATGGTGAGATCTCGGCTCACTGCAACCTCTGCCTCCCAGGTTCAAGCGATTCTTCTGCCTCAGCCTCAACCTTACAGGCATGAACCACTGTGCCCAGCCTTGACTTCACTCATTTAAAAGTCAGATATGGTGGGGCGTGGTGGCTTACACCTGTAATCCCAGCACTTTGGGAGGCCGAGGTGGGTGGATCACCTGAGGTCAGAATTTCAAGACTAGCTTGGGCAACATGGTAAAACCGGTCTCTACTAAAAATACAAAAATTAGCCAGGCCTGGTAGCGTTTGCCCATAATCTAAGCTACTTGGGAGGCTGAGGCAGGAGAATTGCCTCAGCCTGGGAGGTGGAGGCTGAAGTGAGCTGAGATCACACCACTGCACTACAGCCTGGGCGACAGAATGAGATTCCATCTCAAAAAAAAAAAAAAAAAAAAAAAAAAAAAAAAAAAAGTCAAATACTTGGTGCTTGGAATCCCAGCACTTTGCATGCAAGGCTGAGGCAGGATAATTGCTCGAGCTCAGGAGTTTGAGACGAGTCTGGGCAACATGATGAGCCCTCCATCTCTGCAAAAACTACAAAATTAGCAAGGCATGGGGTACATGTCTGTGGTCCCTGCTACTCAGGAGGCTGAGGTGGGAGGACTGCTTGAGCCTGGAAGTTTGAGGCTGCAGTGAGCTATGAGTGCACTGGGCCACAGTGCAAGACTCTCTCTCAAAAATAAATACATAAAATTAAAAAAAAAAAGTCTAACACTTTTCTCTTAAACGACAGCTTTGGGGCTCATAAGGTGAGCAAAAGGGGGCCCAGCAGTGCCCGTCTGTACTCCCTGGGGACCCCGGCCGCTCTGAAGATCCCTGAGGAATAGGTGGCTGGGTGCCTGGCCTCCCTGGGTGGGCTGTGGGCAATATGGTTGTCTGGATGGGGGATGGGCTCTGAGACCCTTGGGGGCAGCAGAATAAGGGAACAGATGGGGTCTCCCAGAGAGAGGCCTCAAGGGTTGGTGGGGCGGGGCTGAGCATTTGGCCTGAAACCCAAGCTCCTTTACTGAGCCCTCGCTTAAACCAGGAGGAGGGGCCTCTGTGATGTGCAAATAAGACAAAAGCCTTCACTGCTTCCTCCCAGGACCAGGGTCTGACCCTCAGGAGGGGAAGACGTGAGCAAGAGGGAAACCCACCTTCCAGGGACCCCCAGCTAGCACCAGGCACCGGCAAGTGCTCTAAAAGGATTTACTAATACTATTGTTATTTGAAGAAATTAAGCTAATACATAGGGTTAAAATCAAAGAGTACTCACAGATAAACAAAGAAATCCACAGCTGCCCCAGCCCCAGTTCTCTTCCCTCTGGAGGTAACTGTGTTAATGGTTTTTTACACCCCTCTGGAAAAGTTTTTTTTCTTTTTTGAGATAGAGTTTCACTGTTGTTGCCCAGGCTGGAGTGCAATGGCATGATCTCGGCTCACTGTACCTCTACCTCCTGGGTTCAAGCGATTCTCCTGCCTTAGCCTCCCAAGTAGCTGGGATTACTGGCGCCTGCCACCACGCCCAGCTAATTTTTTGTATTTTTAGTAGAGATGGGTTTTCACTACGTTGGCCAGGCTGGTCTCAAACTCCTGACCTCAGGTGGTCCACCCGCCTTGGCCTCCCAAAGCGCTGGGATTACAGGTGTGAGCCACCGTGCCCAGCTGGAAAAAAAATTTTTTTAAATAGAATCGGGGTCAGGCTGGGCTCGGTGGCTCACATCTGTAAACCCAACACTTTGGAAGGCTGAGGCCAGTGAATCACCTGAGGTCAGGAGTTTGAGACCAGCCTGGCCAACATGGTGAAACCCCATCTCTACTAAAAATACCAAATTAGCCAGGTGTGGTGGTACATGCCTATAATCCTAGCTACTCGGGAGGCTGAGGCAGGAGAATTGCTTGCACCCAGGTGGCGGAGGTTTCGGTGAGCCCAGATTGTGCCATTGTACTCCAGCCTGGGCAACGAGCGAAACTCTAAAAAAAAAAAAAAAAAAAAAAAAAAAAAAAGAGGCAGGGTCTATGTTGCCCAGGCTGGTCTTGAACTGGGCTCAAGCAATCCTTCTCCCACCTCGGCCTTCCAAAGTACTGGGATTACAGGTGCACACCACCAAGCTCAGTTAATTTTTGTATTTTTAGTAGAGATGGGGTTTCACCATA